CCCTTACACAAACACAAAAGAAAAGGCTGCAGGACAGTTTCTGGAGACAAGACTGTTTAAATCCCTGGAATTAAGGAGCCACAACTTAACATTTTCCAACTTTTTTTTTTTTTTTAATAATACACAAAATTTCTATTCAAATTCTGCTGGACAGTTGCTCTTCTCTACATTGTTATTGATGTATTTTTTTTCTTCCCCCACTGCCTTTGTGCTCTGAGAAAAAATATGACAGACGTGAATACTAGAAAGAGACACAAGATGGCCTAAAGTGCATCTACCAGCCTCTCTCTCAGCTTATGGGTACCTGTTGTAATGTGCATCTCAAAAACAGCACTGAAGGGAAAGCTGGGAGACAAGAACCTCAGTTTTGACTATGGATTTTTCTTAGCCCTCACTTTTCAGAAATCACCAAGCAATGCAGACACTGAATTTTAAACAAACTTGTCTCAGTTTCCAAGAATTTCAACACACCTGCACATCCCCTGCCAGAAAGTAAAAAATAAAACAGGTGTAAATCTCATCATGCCACCCAAGCTGATCTCCTCAAACAGACAAAACACCTGAGTCATTGCCACAGATCCAGTATCTCCTGCCCTGACAAACCCCGACACAACAGCACAATCTTTTAAAGAAGCAAGAACAAAAATGTGTCCTACGAGATGCCAGTGGCTAAAAATGCATTTATTTCTCAAAGGAAAAATTGCTTGTTTGAGCTGGACCCCAGTGACAGAAAGAGCAGATCTGACCCAGTGACATTTGCTGTTCTCTTTATCTCCCTCTTAGATGATGAAGAGCACGAGTGGATCATTCGAACCTGCCGGAAAGCTCAGGATGAAACAGCTGAACATAAAGCAAAGCCATGAAAACAGTTTGTTTTAGACAATAATATTCCAAAGCAGGTAATCTGATTCAAAATAAATCTAACTTGTCCTCCTGCATTTGTCTCACTCCTTCCCTCTACAGGAATATAATCTTTTTGTCATCTTTGTCAGCACAAACAAAATGGAAATAATCATTTAATCAGTCACACTGAGAAAAAGCCAGGGAAGAAAAGCAGACTGTACTCACAGCAATCTTCCTGAGAGGTGTGCAGAGCAGTGCATGTACACGTTATTAAGCCTGAAAACAATTTGTTAAAAGGAGTGCCTCAGGTTCGGTGTTGAAGTCATTCAAATCCATCTTAATCAACATTATTTTCCCAGATTTTAGTTAGCTGTCCTGGTGAATTCCTTTCCTCTCTTTTTGCTCAGTACTTTGATATTGATTGATCATTGTAATAATGTACACCAGAGGTATTCTTTAATGACTGGTTTGCTAACTAGGAAATTATATCCATTTACTAGGAACGTTTGTTGAACTCTCCTGAAGCCAGAGTTTTAACAAAATAATAAAAGAGGAAAACTGGGTGGGTTGCTGCTTGATTAGTAAGCCAGAAAGTATTTAAAAATAAAATAAAATGGAATTACATCATTTTCTGGATGTAAGTGCCAGCACTTCTACTTGCATTAACTTTATTTATTACACAAATAAGACATTTACAAAGCACAACATTAAAAGTATGTAACAAAACAGACATTGGTTTTACAAAAAAGTGCTTACAATTTAGTTTTACTTTTTTAAAATAAATATTAGTCTTGACTGTCCACTCATTCCGAGAATTATTTTTTTTAACCATTGTAGCCAAGACATGCAGGATTGCAACATGCTACAACAAAATGATTGGCAGATGAAATCAAACTGGTGTGTCTCTAGGTGACATCCCACAGATGTAGCACAGCTAGCAGAGCAGGGCTGGTTCCCGCTGCCCAGCCCTGCTGGGAAGTGTCAGCACCTTTCTCTGGGCACTGGGGTTAACCAGCACCAGCCCAAACCAAAACAGAAAGAATTGGTCATGAAACTATAACCCACTCCACTCTCAGACCCTAGCCAGACTTCTTAAACCTGAATGAAAAGCCTTTCCCCAGCTACCATCACTGGATTCTCTCTGCAAAAGGTTTTGTAAAGAGCAACTGGGGAAGTTCAGGACGTGAAGGTGGCTGCACCAGAACCCAGTTGGCAATTACTGAATAAACTAAGAAAATGAGAATTATTTTAATTTATTTTTTTTTTATCTACAGACAGGAGATGAATGCAAGTGACCTGAGATAAGGTTTGGTTCAGCGGCAACAGTCAGTGTGAAACACCTTGTGAAACACCTTGTGAAACAATGTATTGAATAAATTAGAGGATTTCTTACATCCTTGGTACGGTTGAGTATTTTCCATACACATAATTAGCTCTAAAACTGCACAAGCTGAATTGCTTCCAGTTTTTGCAAACAATTTGGGCTTAATATAAACAGAGCCTGATTTCTGAGTTAGCAAAGCTGCTCCTGGATGGGGGCAGGTGCCCGAGCCCAGCCAGCCTGGGCAGTTTGCCCCACGTCCCAGGAGAGAAGCCCCCAGCACTCCCTCGGCCTGTGGCATCGTTACAATCAGGGTGATATACAGGGCATTTCACAAGTGGGTTTTGGTTTTTTTTTTAATCATTAACTAAGTTGATATCTAACAGATACCTACTCCATACTTCCCATTTCATTGCACCACTGAGAGAGAAGAGAAATGCACCAAATGCTTTTCTCCCTCAACAAAACAGCTGTGAAAACCTCAAGTACTGGGGATGTCGGGTCAGGTTACAGCCTGGACTCTCTCCTTCAGTCTCAAATGAAATAGCTACCCACTGGTTAATGGCACTAATTCCACAACTAGGGGGTCATCAGGAGAGCACAAATGGAGAAGAAAGTGGGGTCTGGTGACCCTGCTGACCACCACCAGGGCCTCAAGGCTGTTGCCTGTGGACACAGCAACCCACCTGGACCTCACGGTGACAAACATTCCAATGGGCAACACCAGGACACGTCTGCCACGGTGGCTCCAGTCAAGTCAGGCATGTGGCTGTGCCTTGTCACTGGCTACACACTGGAAATAGTTATTCACACATTAGGAGGTGACAATAACACTTAATTTCCTCTCTCCTTTCCAATGTTGTTTTAAATTGGGGATGGAGCTGGACAGAATGCTGGGCTCACTCCCCAAGGCATTACCATCACTCTCAATATATATATAGATGAAGATACACACACACAGAGGGGTGTGTGTGGATATATCTATCTATCTATGTATATATTTGTTCCAAGAAACACCACTGCATGCACGCAGTGACTTCTCAAATCAAGAGCCCCTGGTGGCTCCTCAGCCCCCCGTGCTGCCCACAGCTGTCCCCGTGGTAGGAGGGTCCGGCCGGCGCTGGCACACAGAGCTCAGAGGCCCTGGCAGGACACGGCTTGTTGTGTGTGCAACACAGGGTGGCCAGAGCTGTGGCAATGCTGGAGATTGAGCCAGGATCACCCAGAGAAAAACACGCATCTTAAAACCAAGTTCTGGAAGGGCTGGATTCCTGCCTTTGTTCCCGGGCACAGTCCGGACAAGTTACGCACTAACTGTGGCTCAGCAAAGGTTTTCACATCCTTGGAGACGTGGCCTCACAGACACTGAGCAGGAGGCCAGACCCATGTGCCTGCATGGAGAGAGGTTTCATGACAGACCCGCTCTTGACTCGGTGCAAACTGAGGAGGGTTGGCAAAGGTTACTTGTTTACTTTGTTGTTCCCGTCAATGAAGGATCATTTTGGAGCTATTTTCCTGATGTGGGGCCAGGCTGCTGAGCACTTCCTTCGCTGTTGCAACAAGCCCTGCAGTGCCTGCCCTGGTCCTGGGCTCCTCCTTTCTCCAAGGACTTGGCCAGGGCCACAGCCAGCAAGGGAGGGCAGCAGGAGAGCAGAGGGGGCTGGAGAGCTGCTGCCAGACCAAGGACTTGGCCATCACCTTGCTGACCACCCAGCCAGCACCCACTCCTGCTGACATTGCTGCTGTTTCCACCTTGGTCACAGATCTCCAGTTTCTACCCCATTGTTTCCACTGACTGATCTTAGGTCCACACCAAGGCAGAACATTTCTACACATTTATACTCAGCTTCCATTGAGGATTTCCCAGTCCTGGGGTATGGAATGTCTGAGAGTTTTGTGTAGATGTGTTCTGAAATCACCCATTTGTGATCCAGCATGACTCCAAGGAAATAAAGTAACTGGTTAATAAAGAACAAGAATTAAAAAAAATAAAATAAAACCCAGAGATCTGGCAGATGCTGTGAGAGAAGAGAGATACTCAGTGCTCTAAGAACAAGTCAGTGATCAAAAGCTTCAGAGTGCTAATCCTGGCTCTGCCACCAACCCCCACGGGTCCGCTTGGTTTAGGACATCTTGGTTTCCCCTCCTACAAAATGGGGGGAAAAACACTTAAGATTTACTTACCTTAGATTGATCAAAGGACATGTGATTCTAAAGCACTTTGAGGAGGAAGAAAAACTGCCTATTTCCAGTTGGCATTATGTTTTCCACTTAGTGGAGTCTCAGCTACCCACGAGTTTGGCTCAGGAAGGTCTGTGTGTCTATCGAGTTGCTGAGCAAAAAAAGCCCATTTGGGATTTCACACAGACAAGTGGAAATCAGGAGGGATGTCCAGGAACCCACAGCGCTTCACTGGTGCAAAATGGGAATCAGGCCAAACCACATAAACTCCTCCTGCCTTAATGTTCAGAGGTGATCATCGACCCCCCGAGACTCAGCATGTTCTGGTTTGTTCATATTCCCACGGGACTGGGAGTGAGCTTTGCAAGCACAGCAGAGTCACTACCTTTGGCTGTGTCCGGCATCGCCTTGGAGAGACTACAAGTCCACAAGAAACAAGTGAAAAATGTAACTCTGCACTCAACACACACATACACAGAGTGTCGCTGGAGGAAGGACGGTGGGTGTCGGGTGCTGCTCAGCGGCAGGAACAGAGGATGCTGGAGCTTTCTCCCAGGTGACGGGCACCAGGCGCCTGGGGCCGGACGGGGGGCTCAGCGGCTGAGGGGCAGCGGTGCTGGCAGCCCCATGGGCAGGGGGGGAAGGGTCTGCGCAGTCAGTACTGAAAGAGGATGACCTGGTGGGAAGAACGGGAGGGGAATGTCAGCTGCTGTCCCAGGCAGAGTCCCTCACCATGGACATGCATTTCCAGGGAGCATCAGAATGGACACGTGTTGCGCTGTGACAGCTACTTCCCGGTGAAAAACCCCCCTCTGGGCCCCACTGCCTGCCCAGGAGCCACCAGCCCTGCCCGAGGGGCAGAGCCAGCTGGGAAGGCACCAGGAGCCCAGCAGGAGGTCCTTAACCAGGGACCAGGACTGTGCTGGGCAACACCAGAAACCAGCAGGTAACAGGTCTGCTCTGGGATCCAGCAGCTGCCAAGGAGATCCCTGGGGGCAGCTCCATGTCCTGAGAACCTGCAGCAGCTGCCAGCCAGTAATTGCACCTCAATCATGGGAACTACTTGCTGCAGTGAAGTTTCTCTGGCAGCACCAGGACAGTATAATATTTTCTGAAAACTCTGCAGCTTACTGGGCAGATATTATGACAAAAAGGTAGCATTTAGACTGAGAAAATAACTTGGCCGTACCCCTGCTTGTGCTTATCAAAACAGAACTCAATAATCTGCAGCTGATGCACTGAATAGAGAGATTGGAAAACAGAGGCCGAGAATTTCTATCAGGAAAGGCAAAAACTAAAACTAATCAGAGCTGTCAAGGACCCAGTGTTTCCTCAAAATAAAGCCACTTCTATTGGGATCCTAAATAAAATCTTATGAGCCTAAGCAAACCTCAGAAGTCTTGTCCCCAGACTTGCTGTGCTGGAACAACTACTTCAAGTGCTGAACAGAAAATACCAATATGCAACATTTTCACTGGCCAGACCTTGTGCAATAACATCCTTACTTCAGACATGGTCTCAGCCAGTTGTTAGTGCTTTAAGCAATACTGGAATCCCCAAGAAATTAATGTCTTATTAACACATGGAAAACTGGGAAGTCAGCACATGCTACAGGTTCCCTCTGCCCCACTGGTAACAGCCAGTGGCTGTTTGCACCCAGAACACGTGGCGGGAATGGAGCTGAGGAATGGGACAGGAGCACAGAGCTCAGCACAGGCAGGGGAGGTACCAGGGAGAGGAGCTCAGGCAGGAGGAGGGCAAAACCTTCAGGGAACACAGGCTGAGAACCCCTGCACATCCCAGCAGGGAGGGGTGTTCAGGGAGGAACAAAGTGATGCAGTTTTGACCAACAGCTGGGACATCAATATAGGGCCATCACCATTAGGAAAAGAGAGGAGCAGCTGCCAGAGGGATGCTGACAAGAGCAGTGGCAGTGACATTACACAAAAGTCTTTGCTACAGCTGAGGTTTGAGCCCAAGGCCTGGAACAGGGACTACAATTACCTTCTCACCCCTATTAGATAGTGGTCCTTCCATGTCTGCTTTGAGGTGCACTGGTGGAGCAGTGTAGGGGAGTCTACAGTGCACTTGTCCACACTGTACCTGACCTGTGGATGAGAAGAGGCTTCAGCCTCTGTTACTCCAAACAACACCCACCCTGCAACCAGCACAGCCCTGTTTTCACCAGGGAGCAGCTCTGGGCATGCCTGGAAGAACAGGTGCCCCATGAGTCCAGCAAAGGGGCAGCAGGAGCCACATTAAACCACAGCCACGAGGGCCAGGGAAGGGAGAAGCCTCACAAAAGTCACGAAGCCAAAACCTCCATCCAGCCGTGACCAAAGCTGCCCATCACTCACAAATGATTCACCAGCACTTGGCAACTGTTAGAGAAAGCAACTCTGATCCTGGGAGCAGGAAGGAGACCCCCTGACCACCAAGCTCAACAGGACACCTTCATGCCTCTTCTCCACGACAAAGGAAACACAAGGAGGGCCAAGGATCAGCCAGATAAAACCCTGGGGATGAGGTATGGAGGGAAGGAGGCTGCAGCAGCCCCCCCTCCCCTCCTCCTCTCACCTGGGGCCTCCCTGTAAAGGGACTTTAGAAAACCCCAACGTTCACCAGGCCAGGAGGAGGAGCAGGGTGCGCCCCAGCAGTGCACCCGCGGGACAAGGGCTCTGAGCTCCCGGAGAGCATCCCACCCCCAGCCCCGCATCCCCGCCGGAGCAGCCTCTTACTTTCGATGTATCCGTGCAGCGTCACCATGCGGGCCCGCTCGGGGCTGCTGAAGGGCGAGTAGTGAATGTCATCGGAGAGCGAGGAGGGGATGCGGGGCGGGGGCGCTCCCGAGGGCGGCACCGTGTGCTGGGGGGGGTGTTTTTTATGGCGGGGGTGGCGGTTGTGTGATGAC